GCTTGATCTCTGCCAGATTTTCCAGCCAAATATTTCAGTAGGAGTATAACACATCATTGTCACCACTTCTGAAGCCACATAAAACTCATGGTTTTGGACCTCTTGGTGGCGGTGGAGAAAACAACACCATGTGTTGCTTTCCAATCGATACCAGTGTCACAGTGTAATCAATAGTAGCATGGAATCATAATTATGTGGATACGACGGTCTTAAATCCTTGTCTGGATTATGAATGCGACGTGCGTGTTGGGAGATCTGCACCATGAATGGTGATACCATAAGAATATGCTTGGACATATACTACTTGGTAGGTGGTTTAATTTACATAGAATGATTGTTCTAATTCAGTTGCACTCATCCCTCAAGCTGCAAGCATCCTTGAGATCCAGTGAACACGATCATATCATACAGAATGGTTATTTCCATTATGACTTATGGGTTAGCCCGGTTAGAAAAATTATCATACAGAATGGCACACAAGGGAAATTTAGATCCAATGCATGTTCATGCCATCCATTTCTCTTCTTTGTGGTTCCTATTAATTCATGCTTCAGCCAGTGATCTCATCAAATAGGAAATTACTTAGGCTAAACAAAATTTTGATGCAAGGATTGATCGAAACCGAAAGTCTTGCTAGCCGCATAGAAAAAGTTAGCGTGATAGTAGTTGGAAACTTGGACGTCAGGTGAACCTAACCATGCCCAAGAATGGCTCCAAACAAGGCAAGATCACATGCACCCGTCAAGCCCATCAAAGGCATCAATGCTGCTTCTGTCCGTATCCCAAGCAACTGGCTGCGCAGCGGCAAAGGAGTGGCGGAGTTTTATCGCGGCGTAGCTTTCGGTTCTCTGGTAGTATCGGGCACTGGTGGACGACGTCAAGCTGAGGAAGCTGTGCGTGCGTGCGTGCGGCAGCGGCCGGTGTGGACCGTGGCGGCGTTGCGTACGTCCGGATTCCGGAGGGGCGTCGGTGTCCTGTAGGCTGTGGCTGTGTGGCCGTATGCTTTTGTGCCGTCTCGTTGCCGGTGGAGCTTCCTGGCCGCGAGTTGTCGTAATATCATCACCGATACTAACGTGTGGTCTCGTTTGACACCGATTCTTCCCCGGCCCTCTCAAGGCAGCAAACATCCACTGTTTTGCTACGTCAATCGCCTTTCGGGACGATAGTTTTTTCTTTGAAGCTTATGAGTTCTTTCTATTTGTCTGTTTTTTTTGTTGAAAATATTAGCACATTTTTCACTAATCTAATCCACGAGTAAACAGTAAACATGACAAATACGGTATACATCTCATACCGATACCTAAGCATGTGAGCATGTACAGTACATAGTGCCGAAACATCCATGAACAACATATATACAGCCAACACATGAACAAGCAAATAGGGGATAATGAGTCATACCCTCCGGTTGGCCAGGCCAACACGGCAGCGGCGGCGGCGGCAGCCTCGGCATCCGTTGAGGCCTTCTTCTTGACGGCTTCGTCATTAGCCATGGAGTAGATGTAGGGGAAGCAATGGAAGCAGATGCGGATGGAGACGGGGACGGAGCGGGAGCAGTCGCGTCGAGACGCTCCCCAAAAACCTTATTGTTGTTCTCCCGGACAGGATCTCGAACGACGGGATTTTGAAGGCACCTGCTCTCCCAACCAACCATGCACGCGGTCGTTAGGATGGGATCGCCGGAAGCAGCATAGAGAGAGGAATAGTAGATGACGGCTACTGTTGTGCAAGAGGGAGTGAGTGAACTGAGTTAGGGTTCACTCCACTGGCCAGCGCCTTCTTATATAGGCCGTCGGGTGGATGGGTCTGGGCTGTAGCAACTCGTCAATTAACCATTTTTGACCGGCAAAAAATAAGCTTCGGCTCGGCTCGTTCCCGCAACCCGCGGCGCGCGCATGGTGACGAGGCGGCTGAGGAGGAGGATGAGTGTCGTGGTTCTAAGTCTGACAGTAGAATGGGGGGTAGGAATGGAGAGGCAAGATCCTAGCTATGGAGTAGTTGTACACACGAGTGTTTTACGAGTTCAGGCCCTTTTCGGAGGAAGTAATAGCCCTACATCTCAGAGCCCGGAGGCGGTCGACTGGTTTCTGTGTATATGAGTTACAGGGGTGCGAACCCTTTACACTGAGGAGGGGGGTGGCTTATATAGAGTTCGCCTGACCCCTCCGGCCCTCAGTTATGTAGGGTTTAAAGTACATTAAGACAGGAGGTTACTGGTAACGCCCTCATAAAGTGCCATGAAGATTATTAAAGCTACTTAATGACAGACCGTTGCGTGCTGAGTGACTTTAGGTCTCCTGGCCATCGAGTGGTTAGCTTCATGGTCGAGTGGCTATCTTCATCGTCGAGTGTCCTTGAGTTCGTCGAGTGAAGTCCCTCTTGGTCGACTGGAAGGTAGCTTCTTCTAAGGATGTCCTTGGGTAGGGTATCCTAGATAGGTCCATGACCCTAGCCTAGGTACATGTCTTCATCATTAGCCCCCGAATGGATCGAGGTTCGAGTGAGGAAGGGGTTGATAATTTTCTCCGACCCATTTCCCGTGCTCTGATTATGTGATATCCTGGATCAGCGATTTTTCTTTTATGGCGTTGGCATTAACTTTTCTTTCAGTCGCCTTGATCCATTCTTTTCTTCTGTCGAGTGAACTTTTGAACTTAGTGAACTTCTGAGCGATGGATCGCAGGAAATCTATCGTCTGACAGATTGATCTACCGTTAGAGGATTTTGTGGGATCCGAATTTTGGGAAGCGCGCGAAGCGGGGCGGACCGCGGTACTCGGATAGGATAAGGCGTGGACGCCTCGATTTCCGTGCCACCTTTTTCGCCACGTATCATGCGTGCGCGACTGTTTCGAGATGTGACAGGACCGCCCGGGCCTACTTGTCAGCCACTCGGAAGCGTCCTTATATAAAGCGCCGGGCGAGGGTTTTTGAACAATGCCTTCTCATTCTCCTCTCTGCCCTCTTTGCCCCCGTCCGCTGTGCCTGCTCTCGCCTCCGCCTATCCACTCCTCGCGTGCTTCGCCGGCGACAATGGTGAAGGAGAAGACGGTGGCCTTGGAGCGCGCGAAGAAAGCGACGGCGACGGGGAAAGCAAAGAGGAGAGCGTCCAGTCGGGGCAGATCTTCGTCAAGGTCCCGCCTGCCAAAAGGTTGGGTCCAAAGGGATTGGATCCGTTCGACCATCACCGAGACGGATCTCAATGACCTGGCCAACGAGGGTCTGATCCCCCATGGGTCAGCAAGGCTTCCGGGGACCGAGTGTCAACCGCAGCCGCGGGAGGGTGAGTGCGTTCTCCTTGCCACTCATGTAGGCCGTGGATTCTCTCTGCCGCCGAGTGTTTTCTTTCGAGGGTTTCTGAACT